GAGCTAAGCTTTATTGAATTTGTGATAATTACTTCTTCCATATGTTCAAGTTCTCAAAAACACTGGTTCATACACTGGCAAAAACATCTTTGATTAGATTTAAATGGATTGCATAATCTATAATTCAGTGTATTATAGGACTCTAGCCATTAGCATGTTTGTGCGAATTAAGACATTACCTTAAATCATAAGATGTTTTACTTGGGCATAACTTTGTATGTGAACTTAACTGTATTGTGTAACCTAAATTTAAGGGTTTAAAATCTTTAGCTTTTGCACAGAAAATACCAAGTATCTTGCAAGGATTTAGGATTTAAACTGGTAGCCTGAAATAGGAACTTAAAGAAAGGGGGAATAAAAAAAATATATCACTGTTGATGACTTTCCTGAATCTGAGCACTTCTGCAGCAGTATTTTACACTTCAAGATCACCTTCTAATGTAACTGACACCATGTTGTTGATTGTGTTTGGAAACACATTGATCTATTTCTGAATTTTGTGGACAGTCTATTTTGTTATGAGTGGAAGTCTTGCCTTGTCCTGGCTCCTGAACGTAAGCCAGCCATTGCTAAAGGTGTAGTGTACTGTTCCTGGCGCTTCTCCTCTTACATACACTGGTTGGAACATTTCTCTTTCTCCCAATACACTTGTCACAGTAACCTGCAACCATGGCCGGTGCTATGGAGACAGTATTTATTTACAAAATTGACATTTCATTTTCACAACTCTCAATGGTTTTTGAATGAAGCAAAGAAAAGGGAGCAAAGCAGATGGGAAGCCTTTAGAATATTTGTTTATATTTCTTATAATTAAAGGCCCTCCCTTACAAATTGTTCCTTACAGCATCTTTTCAGAGTTTCTTTGCCAACCCCTAAACCAGGGGTAAGCAACCTTGGCTCTTTTATAACTCGTGGACTTCAACTCCCAGAATTCCTGAGCCAGCTATGCTGGCTCAGGAATTCTGGGAGTTGAAGTCCACAAGTCATAAAAGAGCCAAGGTTGCCTACACCTGCCCCTAGACAAATGTATGGAAAAATATGTTGTGAAGAACACAAAAGAATGACACAATACTTCATTCTGTCTTTGTAAGATGTATGGTGTGACATTTTTCTTACTCCATGAGGATTGGTAGTGTAAGAAGTGGGAATTTAATTGGATTATATTCCATGTATTCCCCCTGCTTTTGGAAGGGAAGAAAGTAAGAACTGACTGAATCAAGAAGCAAGAATAGTCAGCTCCAAACTGCTTTCTCAGGGATTGGTGGATGGAATATTCTCACTGGAAGATCTGAAAGCTTCATTACTACTTCATTCACTTTGCTAGAAAGGGAAAAAGCCGTGAAATGGCACTGAAAAATAGCCATTATTGTCATCTTTAATTGACTAAGAACCTGCCAGGTTCTCAAGAGTTCTTTCTCATTATCTGTCATCTGTTTTTTTTATGTTAATTCGATTCCACAACTTCATGGTCACATTTACATGATTTATTTAACCAATTTAATATCAGTTCCAATTTGTCATGTGAACCCAAAGACTTATCACATATGGGTTAGCCGATATAATACATGTCCTCCAGGTTAATTTTTGGGCACGTTTCCTCATCTGGGTAAGTTGTCTCATCACAGAACCCAGAAGAGATTACAGGTAGTCCTCAACTTATGACCACAATTGAGCCCAACATTTATGTTGCTAAGTAAGAAATTTGTTAAGCTAGTTTTCTCCCATTTTACAATTTTTCTCATCACATTTAATTAAGTGAATCATTACAGTTATTAAATTAGTAACGTTGTTAAGTGAATCTGGCTGCCCCATTGACTTTGCTTGTCAGAAGGTCGCAAAAGATGATCACATAACCCTGGGACATTGCAACCGTCATAAATGTGAATCAGTTGTCAAGCTTCCGAATGTAAATCACATGACCATGGGGATGTTGCAATGGTCATAAGCGTGAAAAATGGTCATAAGTCACTTTTTTCAGTGCAGTTGTAATAGGAATGGTTAATATTCATCTATACTGACATTTTCCTTTCAATTCTGCAACCTTGTAGAAGACGTCATAACAGAGCTCCAATTTCACTCAGTTTTCACAGATTCTTAAAATTATTTTTTCTTTAACTCAAACCACAAAGCTGGTTGGGTCCTATCCAAGATGACAGTTACTGGCGTCCTTCCTCATCTACTGTAGATTTATACAAATGATTCGTCTGGGAGAGAGAGCAGATCCAGGCAGTCATTTTACACAACTCAAATCAAGCTTATACACTAGTATCATAAGCCAACATATGGAAGTTTGGGGAGATACTGGGATTTTGGGAATTTGGAAGCCCCATGGAAATGGTTTGGACTGCATCCATCAATGATAAATTCAATGACAATAGTTCAGAGATTTGTAACCTCAACTCTTGTGCTTTTGTTCAGCTCTCCCAATCTGGTTCTTTCCAAGTGGTTGGGCTAAAACTCCCAGATTCCCAGCTACATGGGCAATGTTTAACTGGGAATTATTTATCTGGAAATTGACAGGGAATTATGGAAAATGCAGACATCTAAAAAACAGTACAGCCTCTTTGATTGGACTTATACTTCCCCATAGTCAATTGAATTTACCATAAGAACAATTAACCTAACCACTATTTTCCAAATCAATTCAGTTTTGAATATTTGCTGAACTGACAGGTTATGTCTATATAGTGCAACAACTTAAATGCATGAGGTTAGTCTCTCAATGCAAGATTAATGCAACAAGTTAATGCAACATGGAAATTTATCAAAGAAACTCCAACCTAGAACTAAGGAGAAATTTCCTAACAGTGAGAACAATTAATCATTGGAACAGCTAGCCTTCAGAAGGCCCAGTGTTCTAGAGCTCAATCTCTAGAGATTTTTTAAAAAGAGATTGGACAGCAATTTGTCTACAGTGGTGTGGGCTGTCCTGCAGGGAGCTGTATTAGAAAACTTCCAATGTCTCTTCCAGGTCTGTTATTCTGTGTTCTGTATGTTGAGCCAACACTAAACAACATATGTATTATTTATAATGAGGATAATGGACAGGCAGCAGCTCTTGTTCTTTTTCCATGTGCAAAAAAGCTCGCATATCAATTGATTACGTTCAATTACTTCCTCTCCCCCCCCACTAAATGGGTTAGGGATATCAATCAGTGGTTGACAGATGCCTTTGCAAATATATACCCAGTCCATAATCACAACAAAAATAACACACCTAGCAATTACATCCACAGCAGGACATGAGATTTTAACCTTGACCTCTCTTAGTTCTCTAGAAAATAAAGGGAGAAAATGGGGAGATTAAAGATTTTTAATATTGTAAGTGGTATTAGCATGCCTAACTTTGGTTTCCTTATCTGATCTACCTCTAGAGGGTTTTTTTCTGTTGCACGCACCTGGGTTTTAGAATTGTGCAAAGCTTTAAAACATGACTGTTTTCCCAGGTATGGGAATCGAGAGGTTAATTGAACCCAGGAGACTGAGATGCCATTTGCAAACAACTGTTGTCCTCTTTTGTCTTTTTGCATGATTATTATTCTAAGTAGTTGAATCTGAGTTTTTAATGCTACATTAGTGACCCAAAGTCAATATTGTGACATAAGCAGGATTACAAGTTGGTTAAAGAAAATATAATCAGCTTATAAATAAACCAGAAAGAGTGAAGATGTTTCTCTAACATAATTTTTCTCAATCAGCTGTTTTGAAGCAGTGCAGATGGGCTAAAACACAACTTCTCCAGGACATTTGACACAGCAGCACGTGCAGACTTTCTGCTTACACAGAAATTTCAGATCTGGGAGAAGCCACTGGATCCTTTTACCCCCTTTGACACAGTCTCATTTTTAGCACACTGCTAGTAGGACTTACACTACTCTAAGGACATACGTGCAGCTACTTTGGTTATAATTAGAGAGTAAATCTGGTGGCAAACGCCAAAATGTCATCTAGAAAAGTGATTTGATCACTTCTGGAATGCACTATATATGCCAGGTTGAACATCCTTGCAACTGGCATTGTTCAAAATTTCCCTCAGCTTTTCTTCCAGCTCAAAAACCGAAATGGTGCACCTTGAAAACGCGCTCTGGGTCAGCTGTACCAGCAGCAACCTCTTTCATTCTGTGGAGTCCTTGGTGCTCTCTGACTTCGATCGTTTGCTTGCAGACGTTTCGTTACCAGAGTAGGTAACGTCTGCAAACAAACAACCAAGCTCGGAGAACACCAAGGAGTGTCCACAGTCCCAATCCTGAACTACAGACATTCTCTTCTATTGGCTAATTTATTCTTTGTGCTCAGCTGAGATTAACTCTCTGTCCACCCATACTAATTAATTCTGGAAGGAGGAGGAGGAGGAGGAGGAGGAGGAGGAGGAGAAGGAGAAGGAGAAGGAGAAGGAGAAGGAGAAGGAGAAGAAGAAGAAGAAGAAGAAGAAGAAGAAGAAGAAGAAGAAGAAGAAGAAGAAGAAGAAGAAGAAGAAGAAGAAGAAGAAGAAGAAGAAGAAGAAGAAGAAGAAGAAGAAGAAAGCATCATCTCCCCTCCCCCGTATGGGACGGGGACCGGAGGACCCACCCCTCTCCCTTTCTGACCCCAGAAGTTTACCGCTTCGGGACCTGGACCTCGTGACTCTAGGAGCCCTGCGGCCGCCCACCTAAACTTCCCCAGCCATTTCAAGGACGCGGTAAAAGAGCAAAGAAACAGCTCCAAGCGCAGCTCGCGGGTCAAAACGCTCCCGCAGAAGTGAATCAGGTGACTTCAATGCCTCTTTCCCCCAATCTCTGGTTCTTCTGCCGCTCCCGTTATCCAACCAAGTCACCGCTCGTCCCCTCCGCCCTCGGGCTTCTCTTCTTTCAGATTCAAATCTCTAGTTCTGCGGGCTACTGCCCACCCCTAAAAGAGCAGCGACCAATGAGAAGAGAGCTGGACTGCCAAATCGGGGGTGGCCATCAGGACCTTGGCGAATAGGGCGGGGCTTCGCGGTGGCGGAGGGAGAGCGGGCGGGTTACAGTCTATAAATGTCTAAGCTGGCATTTAAAAAAGGACGGGAGGTTCATTGGTGGCTATAAATTCGTATCTATAATTTCTCTCTCTCTCTCTCTCTCTCTTCCTTTCTCTCTCTTCCTTTCTCTATTCAATAAGTGCTTTCTGATGACACTGCAGTCCCTGTTCTAACAAAGTTTCCCTCCTTTTCGCAGGTAAGAGCTGTGCTGGAGATTGTACTAATAAACGGATGCTTAACTTGAATAACCATTTTTCCATTTCCTTTTAAGTTTTTTTTGTATTTAAACTCAAAGACATGTTAGAATGTACTTTGTTCTAATGAAACTTTAAAATATGTTTGTGAATGGACTTAAAACAGTATTTCCCTTGACACAAGATTCATGGGGTGTAATTCATTTACCTTATAAAAGCTGGTGGAATTTACTCCTAGGAGAGGTCTGTGGCTGAGCAGGTGTCAGCCACTAGTTGACCCTGGTTGATCTTGAAAAAGCAGTATTTGCTCTGGATTTTTTCTTCCTTGGGGAGGGGGAGAGGCTGCCAGATAATTTTGGAGCTTTTTGGTAGATTGGGGATTTGAAAAACATGTTATAATTGAGCATGTCGATTTCCTTGCCAAGAAAGTTGCAGGGTTGGCTTAGATCTCTGGACATGGCCCTTGTTTTCCTTCATAGTGTTCACCTGCCTTATCTTCTAACAATCTCTCAGTCAATTGGATTTGCTTCCTCACACAGTAGTCAGAATTGTAAGGTGCACCACGGACTTGATGGTGAATGCACTTCTTCAGAATGGTTGCAACCAACAGCTTAAATAATAAAAATTCTGAACTGATACAGCAGCGATCTCAGCAGGCATCCTTCTCTGGTAAGTAAGATAGGATGACTGGGATTGTGGCCACGTGTGAACAGGAAGCAATCCAGATTCTAGTAAACTAGAAGTGCTCCATCTGATACCATGAGGCCACATTTAGCCTCTGAAGACTTTCAAAGATCATTGACAAATAAAGCCTTTTAATAAAATATAATGTTAAATTTTCATCTGAGCACACTCACTACTTTGGGAAGTCCTATCTCTTGGTGCCATGCAAGTGCCAGTGTGCCCTTAGTCCAGGATTGCTACATACAATATTATTCTGTATGAGGTGTAGCCTCGTACTATATTTAGTGGAGACAGTTTTGAATATTTTCTCTAATGCAGTCTTTGTAGCTACCATCTTTTGTAGACAGAAAAATAAAAGCACACAGTGGAACTTGGCTTAAAGGTTATCTGCAAAATTCCATACACTTTTTGGATAGAGTAAATTTAAACAGCCTAATTTTGAAAATTGTACTTGATTCATGGATTAAGAGGTTGAGGTATAACTTTTACACTTTCTACCCAACTTAGAAATCTAAGCATAGTTTATCAACATGATTTGCATCATAAAAAATAATGGAGAATAAACAGCCCAAACTTGTATTAGGCTAGAAATATAAATATTTTCATGTTTTGCTGAAAGAAGGAATAGGCAGTGCTAAGCCTTATCATTTCAGAAGCATATAGATCTACTCCAAAATTTTTAGTCTTAATTAGTAACTGAACAAATATTGTAGATTTGATGCTTCATTGGCACGCAAGCCAGCTGGAGGATCAGAACCTATCTATTTAAATATAATTCCATTATAAATAATGAAACTTTTTCTTTTCTATGGGAATATAGTCTTTTTTTAAAAAAAATGGCAGCAATAATTAGTTAATAAAATTAACAAAATATAAGTAAATTGAATGCATTACTAGTTTCTGCAAAACTGAAGCTTAAAGAATATGTAGCAAGACCTAAAGATGTTTGCTTAGAATTAACCATTAAGACATGAACTCACTGAAGTTTCTCTGAAGTGTGAACAATGTGTGAAAACTGCTTCATTTTCTCTATCAATTTCAATTGAGGGATGCATCTATGTCCAGGACTCTCTTAATTTAGCAAAGTAAACAAGTTGATTCTTTTTTGGCATGCAGTGTGGAACAACTTGACTCTGTTCTTGACAGCCTGCCAGAATTGTAATCTTTAGAAAAACATAGCTGGATCTCCTATTTTTTATGAGTCTATTGTGCTGTGTGTGTATTTTTTTCACATTTTCTGTTCCATCTGGCAAGTTGTCTGTCCTTTCTAGTGGCATTCTGGCTTTAGTCTGATGACCCACAGCTGTTTGTAATGGTATGTTTGTGCGTATGATACTCACAATGAAATTAAATACAATTGTTGGATGCTAGAAGTGATGGGTGGCTAGTTTCTTGATAGTAGGGAGAATCTGTTCTAATTTTCACTTTTCCTTTTCAGACTTTGACTATTGGGATTTTGCAGTGCCTGAACCCAACTTTAATGAGATGGTGTTTGAGGAACAAACATGCCAGAATCTAATTAGAATGCTGGAGAACTGCCTCTCTAAATCAAAACAGACTAGACTGCATTGCTCAAGGGTTTTAGTCCCTGAGAAACTAACTCGGAGGATAGCTCAAGATGTCTTGCGTCTCTCTTCTACGGAGCCTTGTGGCTTGCGGGGCTCCATTATTCATGTCAACTTGGAAACTGGAAATGTATGTAAAAGGCTGGATAAGATTGTTTGTGACCCCAGCGTCATTCCTACTTTTGAACTGACACTGGTGTTCAAGCAAGACAATTGTTCATGGCCTAGCTTCAGGAGTTTATTCCCCAGAGTTTGTTTTACTTCTAGCTATAAACAGACTCTGATCTTGAGCCCTGGGTTTCGTCTAATTAAGAAAAAATTATATTCCTTGATTGGGACCGTGGTTGAAGAATGCTGACAAGTGTACTAGTTAAAGAGAGCTGAGCTTAAATCCCTTAGAAATAGGAGGGATATTTGCACAATACGCATCGATGGTCTCGAAACCATTTGGTGCTATGTAAAATAAGGAGTGCAGCTCCTTGATACTTGAAACATTCCTTGGTTAGCAATTAGCCCAATAGCCATCCTGATTGCTACTTATTGCTAGCAGTTGAACTAAATGGTTTAGCATTCTTTGATATTTATTTTTAATGTTTTATTTTATGATTTACATTGTTTTCAATCCAAATTGCTAATAAGCTTTCAGGAAACAAATTGGTCTCTAGAACTAAATAGATCAAAGAGTTAAGAATGATGCTTCCAAAATGCTTCTCATAGGTGCATTGGTAGTATCAAATAAAAGAGACATGACATAAGATAATGAGAACTTTTGAAGCTATTGTTGCTTTTTCTTCAAGGTCATCTTCTTAACTAACAACATTTGTCATAATTCCTCTATAACATTCAGAAGCCTTACGCAGGCTTCCTGCAATCTGGTGTCTTCTTGATGTATTGCTTCTACAGCTATAGGCACTCCTACTCAGCATGGCCAAAGGCTAGAAATTTTAGTCTTAACATATTTGTAAGGAGTGCCAGCTTGAAGAAAGTCGTCTTACCTGTCATGATTGACTTGCCTTCTATGCTAAAAGATTTGCAGGAAGCAAGCTTACCCAAATAATCATTGCATTAGAGTTTTACCCTCAATTTTATACAGTAATACTGAAGTCTACAAAACACTTCGTGTACATTTGGCACTGAACAGTTTGTGTTGCTTTGTAGTCAATTTATTAGCATATTTATTGTCATGATATATTTTAAATAGCGTAGCCAATTTGGGAGGTAAAAACAGTCTGGATTTTTTTCTCAATTGTAAATGAAGAGCAATAATCTAGAACAGGGGTGTCAAACTACCGGCCCACAAGCCAGATGTGTCATGCCAAAACTGCACCCACCCCAGCTCCGTCAATGGGGGAAAAGTCATGATACGTCACGTAACATGGTGAGTTTGACACCCCTGATCTAGAACCACACATCCAGTTGATAGTCATAGATGATGTCAGAAGCCATTGCTTCAGTATAAACTTTGAAGCTCTTATTAAATTGATTCCTGCAAAGAATCAATGAAATATTCATCACTCCTTTAATTCAGTGATTTTTGGTTGAGCTATGGAAAAGATAAAGGTAAGAAGATAAAGGTTTGGGTATCCAGCTTTCTTCTAGATACACATATATACTGTAGACATCCATAATCCAAGAAGTAAACTGTATAGTTCTTAGCATAGTCATACATATATAGAGATGTTCTTACTTCAGCAGGATTGGGAACAAGTCCCAAATCTTGTTTCTTTTTACGACAGTGCAAAATTGGAAATCATCCTTCTCAAACTGGTGCCATTTAGATAGACAGGGACCACAATTTCCAGAATTTCAATCTTTTTGTCCTGTTGACTATGAATTATGAGAACTACAGCCACATTATTTCTGGAGAGCACTATCTTGGAGAAGGCTGATCTAGATCCCCAGCTGTCTTCTCTTCATGGCAATATTTATAGAAATTTAATACCTACTATTGATCTATTAGGAAAATTTCCAAGCATGGAAAAGATGAGATCCGTGCTTCTTGGAATTAGAATAATGTATTTTCTAGGATTAAGTTTCCATGGATTGTAAGAAATAAATAATATTATATGTCCATTCTAAAAGAAACAAAAAGTATCTTTTTTCCCCCAGAATAACTCAGTGGGGATCAGACTCTAAACTGTACAAGCAGCAAGAAATGAGGGGAGAAAGATGAAAATGCCATTGGGTTTTTGTTTGTTTGTTCGTTTGTTTGTGTAGCAGACTTGCATCTTGCCTTGTATGCAGGGAAGTAGAAAGGATAGATAAGTCAAGCTACTCTTGTGAAACTTTTTTCTTTAAATCAATTTTAATAAACTCTTTAAATTAGGATAAACTGTTGTGTAAAGTAAGTTTTGCTCTGTTGAATTTAATATGTGAGGGATAAAAACATGTAGTCTAATGCAGGTGTTTTGGGGAAGGGATGCCTCTTAAGTTGCAGAAGACTGTGAATTATAGTTAGCTGACTTTAAACCTGAAAGTTGTGCACTTCTCTCTGCCAGTCAATTGAGATTATGTTGTCCTGGCCTTTATAAACTAGGTTATAGCCCATCTACAGCATGGATTCAAGATTAGGAGACCTTCTTTAGCAGATTCAGGAGACAGATAGAGAGATGCAAGGAGCAATAAAAATGACAGCTGTGGCAGCAAAAATCTGCTTTTGTAACATTAGAAGTGCAGAGTTTTAAAATTTCTGATGTTATTATCACCACTTCATAAATTTGTACATATGTTCTGAATTGCACTGATTTGGGCTCCCTTGTTGTTGTGGAGTTAGGAAATGTTTTTTCTTACTATTATCTTAATATTGTTCTTAAATGTGATACTTATGTAAGTCTATCAATAAATAAAGAAATGTATTTTAATTCCCAGCACTCAGGTTAGTACTGAAAGCATAATGATACCGTATCTGGTACTTTTCATAAAAGCATCATATAAATGCAGCAATACTTTCCTGTGGAATGCAATAGATTCCATAGGAGGCAATTTTCACATAAATAGGTAGTGAATCATTCATCCATTAGTACCTGATCCTGTATGTAAAGTGTTCGACTATGATCGGTACCGGGGCTTTTTTTCTCATAGAATGCTTAGAACAGAATTCCGGCACCTTTTTTGGATGGAACCTTGTAGGGTAGGCAAGGCAGGTTGTACGACATGTGTGAGTTCCGGCACTTTTTTTTTTTTTTTTTTAGAAAAAAAGCACTGGTCGGTACAAAAATCCCATTGACAAAGTATAGAAAACTTCTTTGAAGAACAGAAGTATTAGAATGACTTTAAAATATGATGTTAGTTCAAACTATGCTAGCAGCTATTCCCATAAATTGGGTTGAGTCCACATGTCTCTTAACCTATGAATTATGTTTTGCAAAAAACAAAACACTTGAATTACAAATGACCCTCATCCCTTGAATTTTTTCTGGAGTGGCAACATTTTAAAGTAAGTTTGGGGATAAATTTTAAACCCCCACAAATATTCAATTTAAGTATTAGTGATTTGTGACATCTTTAAGAGAGAAAAAGCTCCCAGTATATGTTAACTATTAAACATTCTCATTTTGGCCATCTTCAAAACTTAACATTCTCTCAAACATTTTGACATCATCATTAAATTCTTTCAATAGGTGTTTCCATTTCGGCTTCATAACTAACAACACTCGTTGCTTGATCATCAGTATGAAGTGCAGGAATTTGTTGGAAGAAAAACTACATTTTAAGTTTTGAAGATCTATAATTATTTACCAGTATTTTTGAATTCCCTGAACTTCCAAAATGATGTTTAATAAATCTTGGTTTGGCATTAATTTCTTTCCTTCAACAGAAATTAATTGGCGTGAGAATGTAGTAAAAAACGAGCAATAAATAAAGGAAGTTTGAGCTTTTTTTCCCCTTTTTTCCCTTTGTGCACTTTGGAATTAAGCCAAATCCTTCCAGAATGCTGGCAAAAAATCCACTCCTATCTCTCTTGAGTCCAAAGGGGAATATAGTAAACATTTCCATCTATCATTCAGTGCTGCAGAGTGCTGAGAGGGTGAGATTCAACAACTGGTGTATGATTAATTGTTACAATGGCTCCTCTTTTTTATTGAAAATATATCCAGAACAAGGTAGAATTCTTATTAGCTATGCAACCTGGAAGAGCTGAAGCAGAGGCCTGGATTGTGCTGTACTGTGTGTGTGTGTGTGTGTGCGCGCGCGCACACACGTGTGCATATTACAGAAATACATATCTTCTTGTTTATGCTGACCGTTACTTCCTATTATGTTATTTTGTCAATTATATTGCATTCTTTCATATTTGATCATTAGCTGCCCTGCCACCTGCTATTAAAAGAATGAAAAATACAAAACAATAAATAAAGAAATGTTGGAAAACATTATTTTTTGTCAATAAACGCAGAAAGGAAGAGAAGGATAGGCAAAGGGGTTTTCCCAAATGAAGGCTGTTGAATTGGGGGAAAAAAATAAACTTGTGCATCCTTCCTTTGGATACTATCAGATTTAACATCGAGACTGCCTCATCCAAATGAATATTGCTGCTAAATTTCTCTGCCATTGGTTCTAAGGAGGCTGAATGTTCTCCAAGCCTCTAAGGATGCAGTTGTGCTTGAAAACAAAACTGTTGTGTTTACTGGGTGGCCTTTTCTGGCTGATTATTAAAAGAACTTTGCAAGTAATTCATGTGCTGCAGGCACTTAATGAATGTTGCTTTTGTGGGCATCACTGGCAACTTTAGAAGACTCACAACATGGGCAGTGGTTGTTTTTCATTAATTTTCCAATTTATTGTATGTTTGTTTGCTTACTTACTTATTTGCAGGGTTTCTTGCCAATCTTGCTCTTGCTGAAGTCAGCAAGTAAAAAAATAAATCTGGCCAATCTATTATTTAGCCAGGATAGAATCTACTTCAAATGAAGCAACTTTTCCAACTTGCTGACCAGTGAGAGATTCCAGACTGCATTTGATCCTCCTGTGGAAAGCAGTGAGATGTTTACAGATATTGCTATTTCATCATACCCAGATTGCATTCTAAGTTTTATGACTGCAAAACTTGGTATGGAATGAAAAGTCACAAAGGGGTCTGTAAGAACTTTGAGCAGTTTCTTTCAAGTTATCGACTTCATATTCCAAGCTCTATTCCAGTGTTTCTCAACATTAGACATTTTAAGATGTGTGAACTACAACTCCCAGAATTCCCCTGCCAGTATGCTTTATTCCCTGGAAATGTATCTTTCCATGTAAAAGGATTGCAGCAACCTGAATCTTGCACTACACACCTGTTTTCACTACATGAAAGAGTTTCTACAATTCTGCTGACTTCGTTAACCTCCTCATTTTAGCTGCAAAGATTGTTTTACAGTATTTCCTTTGCAGCTGTGGGCTAGTTGGTTTCCTACTGGCAATCACTCTTGCTTTTTCCTGCCTCCTAGTGTGTGGGATTCCCTCTCCCCTCCAGAAGTTGAGGTGTCAGAGTGATTTGGCACATTATTTTCAGTCAATCCAAAAGGTGATGACACACTGGCTAGGTTTCCCTTCCCCTCCCTGAAAAATAAATATACAAGTAATCCTTGAGTTACAACTATTCATTTAGTGACCATTCAAAGTTACAACAGCAACTGTTGTACAGCAGTAAAATAAGATATTTATGCAGTTTTTTTACACAACAGTTGCAGCAACCCCATGACCACGTGATCAGAATTCAGATGCTTGGCAACGGCATATATTTATGACGGTTGCAGTGTCCCAGGGTGATGTGATCCCCTTTTGTGAACTTCTGACAAGCAAAGTCAGTGGGGAAGCCAGAGTCCCTTAACAAGATTGCTAACTTAACAACTGCAATGATTCACTTAACAAGAAAGGTCTTGTTTTGCAATGGACACTTTGGGCTCAGTTGTGGTTATAAGTTGAGGACTACCTGTAGTGAGCCATGACAAAGAATGGGGGTAGGAGCAATAGCAGGAGTGTTAAATTTTGCACATCACTGTTGGCACCTGAAGGAGGTTACTGGTCAACTCATGATTTTTGGCAGCCAACCATGAGGGTGCTTGCATGGTAGCATGATTATAATGGGAGAAAATGTGACTGTATGAGGAAACTGTGGTGGCTCAGAGAAAAAGGTATAAAATGGGGGGAGGGTTTTCATTCTCTGTTGCTGTAACAAAAATAATTTGATGATGTTGCTTTGCTAGAGAAACCTCAAGAGAGAGAAGGAACATGAGTAGGAGGAATAGGGAATGCATTATTTAAAACACAAATTGTCTTTATGTATACATTTCATTATTTCTATGATAAATGCATTGTTATAGAAAAATAGAAAATGGGGGGGGGAATAGAAAGACCATTTCACTAATAAATAAAAAAAGGCTGTGTGATCAGATCAATATTGGTCATTTTATGGACAAATTCCTTTTTCTTCCTTTTTATGTTTCTTTACAGCTAGTCCAGAACTTACAACTATTTGTTCAGTGACCCTGTGAAGTTACAACAGCACTGCAAAAATTGACTAATGATCAGTTTTCACACTTACGACTGGTCATTGATGACTGGTCACATGATCAAAATTAGGGCACTTGGCAACCAGCATGTATTTATGACATTTGCATCATCTCGGAGTCATGTGATCACCATTTGTAACTTTCTCTGCTGGCTACCAACAAGCAAGGTCAATGGGGGAATCGCTTAACAACTGCATGATTCACTTAACTGCTGCAGTGACTCACTTAACAACTTTGGCAGGAAAAGTCATAAAATGGGGCAAAACTCACTTAACTCACAGCATTCTCTAGGCAGTTTACAATGTAAATATATTGCCCCCAACAATATGAGTCCTCATTTTTACCAACCTTGGAAAGATGGAAGGTTGAGTCAACTTTGAGCCGCATCAGGATTGAACTACAGGCTGTGGGCAGTTTGTCTTCAATAGTGCACTTTTTACCACTGTGCTAATGGGGCTCTGGTGATGTTTTTGCAGTCGTTCCTTCAAGAATCCTACAGCCTAGAGCTTACAGCTTTCCTATGGAACCCCACCAACCAACACTTTTTGGCCAACAGTGCCCACACCAGATCAGATATGCTAGCTGGAAAAAGATAGTTTTCCTTGAGCTTTCAGTGGTGAGCCTGAGACCTCCTGAAAGTAAAGAGTAGCACTGAAAATAGTGGATGGAATACATTTAACCAAAATTTACATAAAATGAATACAATTGTTATCAATGTGCTTCCCCTTTTGGCTTATTACAAATTATAAATTTGGGGTAGGAATAGAATAGAATAAGAATAGAACAGAACAGAACAGAAGACAGAGTTGGAAGATAGTCCACCCCCCTGCTCAGGCAGGAAACCCTATACCATTTCAAACAAGTGGTTGTCCAATCTCTTCTTTAAAACTTCCAGTATTGGAGCTTTCACAACTTCTTGAGGCAAGTTGTTCTACTGATTACTTGTTCTATCTGTCAGGAAATTTCTCCTTAGTTCTAGGTTGCTTCTTTGCTTGATTAGTTTCCATCCGTTGTTTCTTTCCTGCCTTCAGGTGCTTTAGAGAGTAGCTTAATTTCCTCTTCTTTGTGGCAATCTTTGAGATATTGAAACACTGCTATCATTTCACTCTGAGTTCTTCTTTTCATTAAACTAGATATACCGAACTCCAGCAACGGTTCTTTATATGTTTTAGCATCCAGTCCTCTAATCATCTTTGTTGCTCTTCTCTGTACTCTTTTTACAGTCGCAACATCTTTTTTACGTCGTGGTGAACAAAACTGGATGCTGTATTCCAAGTGTGGCCTTACCAAGGCATTGTAAAGTGGTATTAATACTTCACGTGATCTTGATTCTATCCCTCTGTTGATGCAGCCTAGCACTGTGTTGGCTTTTTTGGCAGCTGCAGCACATATTTTGCTGGCTCATATTTAAGTGATTGTCCACTTGGACTCCAAGATCCCTCTCACAGTTACTACTATTGAGCTAGGTACCACCTATGCTATACTTGCACATTTGGTTTTTTCTTGCCTAAATGTAGAATCTTACTTTTTTAACCATTGAATTTCATTTTATTAGATAGCACCCAATGTTCAAGTCTGTCAAAATCCTTCTGCATCTTAAGCCTATCTTCTGGCTTAAGATAGAGAATGATCTTGACAGACTTAACATTGGGTGCAATTTGCACCTTTATTGCTGGGAAGGTCCTCACTCTGCCCAAACATACAAAGCAGATTTTAGAACAGAATAGTACAAAAATGCTAAACAGGCCTTCACCATCCTGGAATACTAATTAGGACTGGGCTAATTACAACCCCTATTTGTCATCCAATGCTTGCACATTGCCTTCCTTTACAAGAAGCAAAACTGTACCATTTCAATAGCATCCTCCTGCAACATTCCAAGATAAAGTTTGAAATAGTTTTGCTAACAAAAAGTTTTGCGTTGTTCCCTCCAATATTATTGTATAGCAGATGTGGGCAGTGGGTCCCAGCAGCCTCAAACCATGGGAAGTACAACAGTAATACAATGACATTGTATGAGGGCAAGGCAAGGAAAGTTTCCATGGATCAGATGGCTATGCCATCAGAGTCTCAATACATCTTTTTAATTTTTTTGTTTTCTCTTGCTTCCAGCTGACAATAAGCAATGATACACTTTCCTTGTTCAGCAGGATGCCATCATATTTCAGCAATATGATTTCTATGGGTCTAGGAGCTGGAAAAAGAGTTTAAGGGGCACATGAGGTCATGTCTTGTCCACTTCTGTTTTATAGTATGCCAATTTAGCCACAATCTTTCACCAAAATATTTTACTGGCAATGCACACTAAATCAAATTCTAATATCAGGATAACTATATACAGGTAGTCCTCGACTTGTTTAGTGACTATTCAAAGTTACAACAGCACTAAAAATTATTTATGACCGTTTTTCACACTTATGACCACTGCAACATCCCCATAGTCATGTGATCAAAATTCAGCTGCTTGGCAACTGACTCTTATTTATGACCGTTGCTGTATCCCAAGGTCACATGATCCCCTTTTGCAACCTTCTGACAAGTCAATGGGAAAGCTAAATTCACTTAACAACTTAACAACGATGTCACTAACTTAACAACCACAGTGATTCACTTAGCAATTGTGGCAAGGAAAGTCATAAAATGGGGTACAATTCAGTTAACAACTGTTTCATTTAGCAACAGAAATTTTGGACTCAATTGTGGTTGTAAGTCCAGGACTACCTCTATATGTATAAACAGTATTTATTTATTTAGAAAATGTATATGCCCACCCACTCACTTTCAGTGACTCTAGGCCAGGGGTCCCCCACTACCAGGCCTTGAGCCTTTCGGAAGTGGGACACAGAAGTGGTGTGCAATTGCACACACATGCATATGTATCCCGA